AGTTTGTAAACTAAAATTCTTCTAAGCCAGGCCCATCTTTTCTCTCAGCTAGTGAAATTAATCAGTACTCCCTTTTCAAGTTTATCATGACTTAGAATAAAAAATACTAAGAGTGATCAAAAGGCGCCATGAATAACTTATAAGAAATGCTCCTTCTGCCCTCCAAAGTACTGTCTAGGACTTACTTGGCCAGGCATTGAGTCAGTTAGCAGGTAGCAAGTAAAGGAGATAGGAAAAAATGATTGTAAAGTAATAAAAGGTTGGAAGTAATTCTCAAGAACTAAATATTGAAAGGCAGTGGCAGGTCTAAACCCTGAAGAACTCAACATGTAGCGTAATTTTTGTTTAACATGTATAGCTTTTCTTTAAAAAAGAAGGAACTACTACAGAAGGTTATCAGTATATAATTATGAATGGAAAGCAGACTATATAATTCCTAATTACCTGTGTATGGTTTGGATAGCACTTTTAAAAAAAATGAGTATTTGAAAATTACCCATTCAGTTTTTTAGTAACTAGTTTGTTTAATGAGTGATACATGATTTGAAGCATATCTGTGATTTAAATAAATGGTTATTTGAAACATTACATTACTAGTTAAAAAAATTTGAGACATTTATAAACATCCAGCTTAGTTGAGTTAATCCACTGTAACTGTTTGATTGCAGATGTTTTCCCACACTGATGGGCAGCTAACTGAGGTAGTGATATCCAGTACAGTCAACTCTCAATTTTCTGTGGTAATGGGAAACAACAATGCATGGATTATCCTAAAACAGAATATTTTGTTCAGTACCTTCCTGTCATCTGCTGTGGCCTGAGCATGTGCTTGGGTTCATGAGGGAGATGTGGGAGTGGGGCTCAGGGCTTGCAAAGGAGCTGGGAATCAGTATAGTGATGTCAAGGCTGGAAGAGGCACCTGTAGGAATCTGGGTTGGCACAGTGTGGCTGAAGTGTCATGGGGAAGCCTGCAGCATGCAAGACCAGCTTGGCAATATCAGTGAGAAGGATGGGAAATTAATTAATTAGGAACTGTGGGAAAATAGATGTGTAAGGTCCTGCACAATTGCAGTGATGTTCCTTGATGTGGTTTTTTGGTCGACAAGCTCTGTAACAAACAATGATTTTATTAATAGTATACTTGCATTAGTTTTGGTTTTCTTTGCTAGCTGAATGCTTTTTTAAATTGCCACAGGTGAGTGCTATTATTGAGGTCTCTTCTAGATATCTGAGTAAGTTTATTGTCTTATAACTGGTATCTTTAGAAACACAGGATAAATTTGAAATACTTTTCTTAACATTAAAATTCTTCCCAAATATCAATGTTGAATTTGTACTTTCAAACTATAACTTAAACATTTTAGCATTGTAATGTCAAAGAATATTGTGAAGGCAAAGGCAGTGATTACTGAAAACTGAATTTGGTGTAGGAAAAACACAGCCATATTTTTAATTTAAAAATATAGGAGTTTTACTGAATTCTTTTTAGAACTGATGTTTGGCTAGGAGTTGATGAATCTTGAAGCTGAGGAATCAGTATGGGGAGTGTTTATTATATTCTAATTTGAATATACTTTTTTTTTATAAATAAATTGAAGTATGTGATTGCTGAAAACCTCAGAATCTTCTGGACCAAATATTCTCCTCCTTATTTATGGGATAGGTTTAGTGCTCTCCATCAAGTTAGTACTCAGACTCCAGATGAAACCATAGCCATTTTCTAAAGGTATGTTTGATTCTGTCCATGGTAACTTCTGCAGTTTAACTCATTGTGGGAGTGGACTGGCAAGAATACAATTCATATCCTTTGATTTTCTTAACCATATGTTACCTTTATTATTTTAGACAATTTTTAAAAGGTTAATGATTCCAAATATCTATACCTAGGCAATCATTAGAGGCATGAATCTTGAATCAACTCTTGTGACAAGTATGGTAACAATAGTATTTGAGGGTGAATAATACAAGGGACAGGCTATTTAGTCCTTCCTCTAAATTGTTCTTAGCCAGGGCAGTTTTGTCCCCTAGGGGACATCTGACAATTTCAGACATATTTTTATGGGTGGGGTGGAGGAGTGCTGCAGTTATGTACCTAAAAGCTTTCTACATCCTAGAAAGCTCAAGACAGCATCCCACAACAAGAATTATTCAGGCCCCAGAGGTGTCAATAGTGCTGTTGTTGAGAAACCATGCTCTGGTGTTTCTAAGATATAGGCATTCTTATCAAGTGGACAACTAGAAACATTATATAGCTAAACTAAATTATTTTGACTTTTCATATGTATATGCTGTTAAGAATCATGTCTTTAAAATGTGCCTTCAGTTTTTACTGAATTTGATATAATAAGTAACAGTGAACTTTTTTGTCTCTCAAAATTTCTTTTATTTCTTTTAGAGTTCAGTACTGGGAAAATTGTCACTTTCCTGTTAACTCATTTTGTTTTACTTTGCCTTCTCTCCAAGGAAGCTTAGAACCAAATTTTATGCTCTAACAACTATCTCTTATTTAGACTTACAGTTCTATTATCTTTTTTTTTTTTTTTCTGTATTGGTTTTCCTTTTATCCTTACTGTATTGATGAATTGTTTTGGACTGTGTATGTGTTTGTTTCCATATGAAGAAAACATATTGGTAATATGAAAATGTCCCTAATTCCGAGACCAAGTCATACCTCTGTATGACCAAATGAGCAGATTTCTAATGTATATCTTAATGCCGTTTTCAAAAGTCTCAATTTTTTCCAAACAAAAAATATGTGCTTGTTATAAAATATTACTGTGCATTAATGCAAACAATATGTGGAAAGTTTTTATTCTCCAGGAATTTATTAATATTTCTAGCATGAAAGTTTGAAATTGAAACTATAAGCTTAGAATTTTTTTAATAATTGGTCAGGTTTTCATTCTTATGGTTTTATTTATGAATAAGTACATTTTTTTTTTAAATTGTAGAAACTGTGTCTCACCAAGTTGCCCAGGCTGGTCTTGAACCCGTAGGCTCAGGCAATCCTCTCCCCTCAGCCTCCCAAAGTGCTGGGCTTACAGGCTTGAGCCACTGAGTCTGGCTCTGAATAAGTACATTTCTAAAAACTGAGCAGAATAAAAATGATGCCTTAGGTTTACATTGTCTGATAGTTGAAAAGGAAAGTTCTTCTCAAGATTTTCCTAACATGTGCAGTAAAATTTCAGAGATGATTTTTTTCTTTAAAAGAAATGCTTAGCCTGGACATGGTAGCTCACGTCTATAATCCCAACTCTTTGGGAGGCCGAGGTGAGAGAATTGCCTGAGCCCACGGGTTTGAGATCAGTCTGAGCAGCTTTGCGAGACCTCATCTCTACAATAAATCAAAAAATTAGCTGGGCGTGGTAGTGTGCACCTGTAGTTCTGGCTACTTGGAAAGCTGAGGTGGAAGAATCATCTGAGCCAGCAGGTCGAGGCTGCGGTGGCTGTGAGCATGTCACTGCACTCCAACCTGGGTGACAAAGTGAGATTCCAACTTTAAAAAAAATGCTTAAAGTTATAAGATTACTGCCATGGTCAGTTTTTTATTTGGTGCTTCATTTATACATTCATTAGCTCTGAAGCATATAGATCCTATTGTTTTAAGATGTCTTTGTTGTAGAGAAGTAAGAGGCTTTGAATTTGTTTCAAGTTTGCCTCATTGCTTTAGGCAGCTTAGAATGATAAATGATCAGCTTTTGGAGTTCTTAAAATGCTAGTTAATAATGTCATGTGGTCATAATCTTTTCAGTGATGCTATTAGCTGCTTCTTTTAGGAAGGAGACAATGAAGTAGGACTGGGGAGGAGTTAGCAAAAAAAAAAAGTGTGCCCATTAATTGCTGCTTGGGTCAGAAATAGTGGTAGAGATGTGAACAGATATAGTGAAGTGTTTTTCAAACTCTTTTGACTGTAACCCACAGGGGAAAAATACATTTTATATTATATTAAGTACATAATTCATGTATGTGTTTATAATAAGCAGACGTTTCAAGAAACAGTTCTTACCTTACTATGTGTACAGAAGTCTGATGTTTCTGTTCTATTTCACTTTAGATAATTGCTACTCACATACTACTCATTGCAATTTACAGTTTAAAAAATTTTGTTTTAGTGTATTAATTACCTGTGTATGTGGAGAAATTCATCCTCTGTTAGCAACTAGAAAACTGTGAGAGTGTCTTATCACTCTACTAAATTATGTCCTATGTGAGCATTTAATAAATATATATAATGAGATATTTTATAAGCACTGTGTCATGATATTTAAAAAAGGCAGTTTTACACAAACAACTTAGGGTTTATTTATTTTGGTGAAAAATGACTCATTTTTATCATTGAGTTTTAGCCCATTTCCTTTTTTTTTTTTTTATAAAAAAGATGTTTAAACACTAATAAATTTATGCTAGTAGGTTATTTTTTAATGTAACCAGATTAATTAGTGGGACTTTATTAATAATTATATTAAACTAAATCTTAATGGAGAATGGAAAATTAGCATACTTTAACCTAGGGTTGGCAAGCTTTTTCTGTAAAGGGCCAGCTAATAGACATGTTAGGCTTTTCGGGACATAACTTTCTGTTGTGGCTGCTCCCCTTTTCTGTCACAGTATAAAAGTAGCCATAGACACGCAAGTGAGCAGCGTGGCAGTGTTCCAGTAAAACTTTACTTATGGATACTAAAATCATAATTTCATATAATTTTCACATGTCTTGACATTCTTTTTCTTTTGGCTTTATTCCAACCATTAAAAAATGTAAATACTACTCTTAGATTGTGGTCTGTAAATCTCAGGTGGTAGGCCAGATTTGGCATGTGTGCCATGGTTTGCCAACCCTTGCTTTAGCCTAAAAATGGAGAAAGTAGTCCAAAAAGGAGAAGAATTTTAGCAAGCATGATTGAGAATATGAATAGCAATATTAAATCTCCTGGCATTTATATTATGAGTTTTCTGGATAGCAGAACTATACATTTTTGTGATTTCTTTATTATATTTTGCAGACAGTTGATATTCATAAAGAGAAAGTTGCAAGAAGAGAAATTGGTATTTTGACTACCAATAAAAACACTTCAAGGACGCACAAGATTATTGCTCCAGCCAACCTTGAGCGACCAGTTCGTTATATTAGAAAACCTATTGACTACACAATTCTAGATGATATTGGACATGGAGTAAAGGTAAGTGTAATTTTTGTTAAGCTTTTGAAGACAAAAGACTGTAATCGAATTCATTCTTTAGAAAATTAAGCTTTCTATCTTTCCTTTTCTAGAGGACCAAGTCTCGGTCCAGTTGTGATTATGAAGATTCCTTAATACTGCACCTGTTTTACCCTTCTTGCTTTTTCTCAGGGCTGTGTTCTCAAGTTTTAAACAGTCATCTTGAGTGGGTTGCATTTGCTTAATCAACTATGGTAATACCTCATACGGAAGGAGTAAATAAGTGTGGTGTAATGTTTCTAATCTTAATGATTTAAAGTGTCTTATTAAAAGTTACTCAACATGTTGCAGTGTTTACCTTATCTCAAATATTTATCAGCAGACTTTTGGCATTAGTTTTCAAAAACAACATATGTTGATAAACGTGTGCTTTTGAGTTTTTCTAAAATAATTTTATCTCAGCTTTTTGGTTGAGAATAGTGTTAGGTAAAAGTACTATATGAATTAATATTTCTTCTGCTTTCAAGTTTATAGCCATTATGTATTTTGGCTATCTTTTAAGATATACTTGAGATCCTAGTTTGTATATAAAGTACCATAATCAAAACTGAGAAACATGTACATTTTATTTAAATTGGTGTTTGTATTTTAGAAAGCTATTTAGAGTTTCAGCTAAGTAGTAAGTTTGAAATTTACATCTTATCAGTGATTTGAAAGACAATGGCTTATCAAATGTTGCCTTAAATAAAAATACACATATGCTCATAATTAATCTGTACAATTCTTGCAGTTGTTTTTTTCCTAATATAACTATATTTAAATAAAAAATATAACCACACCTTTTTGGCTGGAAATCCAGATAAATTTAATGTAGATCTAGGTAAAAAGAAAATATACATTATACATATATTTAAAAAAATATTTTCTAAGAGTTTGATGCAATCCCTATTATCTGGATTTGATACTTAACTTTTATAATTGATACATGGATTTAAATTACTGTACTAAGTAGAGCATGTAAGATTAGTATGCATAATTGGATGGTTAATTAATAACTGAAATTTATTCTGACTTGGGAAAATTTGTTTGTTTATTTGGCATAGGTTGTACGCCATAGGGAAAATTTATTCAAGGCTAACAAACTGCTAATAGAATGTGATAGAATACTACCAGAATCTAATGCCAAAAACACTTGGAGCATAAAACATGACATTTGTGCTTGCCTACTTCTGTAATAAAAAGATGATTCTTCCCCCCCATTTTTGTTTAATCCATAAAGTGAAATGTTTATCTTTTAGGACTCTGTTGCTCCTTTATTTTTTTGACTTTTAGTGTTTAAAAGTTTTCTGCACTAATATGAAGAAATCTTTAATAAAATTAAATTTTTGAATAAAACAGTGTCTTAAATAATTTCATCAAATAAACTTCTATTCATGACACATTCTGCTTTAACCACTCTTTCTATGATCTACTGAAACATTATTTTGTTAATGCTGAATGCTTAACTTGTTTTTTCTTTTTTTCCTTTCTCTTCACATCCTGAAGTTTCAACTAACCTTTCAATGCTTTTTTTTCCTTACCTCTTTTATTTGCTCCATTTATGCATTAAGTGGTTGCTTAGATTTAAGGTAAGAGATTCCAGGGCTGGATTTCCATTCTTTGTTCTTATGTAGAATATTACATATGGGGAGTAAAGAGATATTTGACTCTTGGCCTTTAAAAACCAGTAATTTCTCTTTTTTAAAAAAATTTTTGTTTTTTTGTCATGCAACTTTGTGGTGTGTCTTCATGTTTCTTGCTGGCAAATATTTTTGTCTATTTTATTTACTGCTCTTTCCTTTGTGCCTAGAACAGTGCTTGACACACATTAGGTGCTTAGTAAATATTTGTTTAATGAGTGTTTTTTTATAATGTTAATATATTTTGTGAATCATAAAGTCTTGTTATGAAATATAATTGCTGGATATTTGTAAGTATAGACCCTTTTATGAATTGGAGGGCCAACTAACATGCTTTATTTAACCCTCCCCCTGTGTAATAGCCTTTTTATTCTATAAATGGTATGCTTTATGATACACTTTATGGATAATATGTCATTTTAACTTGATGATCAGTGTAAAGAAATTGACAAGCAGAAAATATTCAGTGTTACAGTTTTTTTTTTAAGTTGCAGTATCATGTATTTTGCCAAAAAGACTAGTCTTTTTTTCAAATAGCTATATAAAATATGTTTCAATATAATTCACTTTCAATATGACTAACTCACTTTTTAAAGGTAAGTATTGCTTATATGCAAAACATCAAAAGCTCATGATAGTGTTTAACAAAACACAAGTTAAAGGTTAGAGTATTTCCTGTTGTAATTTGTTTCAGTATTTGGGAGGATCAGTGGTAGAAGAAATTCAATTGTATTCAAGAAGCCTGTCAGAAGTTACTACAATTATTTTCACTAAACTTAACATGCATTTTCTCTTTGTTCTTTTTTTCTTATCGAGTTTTATAATTTTTCCCCAATATGTATCTTTTCATCTGATACCCATTGTTTGCCATGTCTTCAGTGTAGAAAGTGATAAGAAGACAAGATGACTGAGTTCTGTGTCATTGACTAGTACTAACCCTGGCCACAGAAATCTTTCCTGGTCTTGGTAGGTAGATCTGATTAGTGGAGCCCAGGCAAATATACTTTACTTCTATAGAATAAAGTCTGGAATTTTGGCTCCAGGCACTGAGTCTTGGTGAGTAAGATGTGAACTTGTGAGGAGATCTATCTTAGGATAGGAGGGTTGCAGTGACCTAGACCAAAAGTAGGCTGTGCAGCTGCTGTGACTCTTTTCCTCTAAGGTCTGTATTCAAATTCTGTCTATTAATGTGTTAACGTTCAAAGTGATAGAAGTGCCCAGAAAGATTAACTGAAGAACAATGCAGAAATAGGCCGACTTGGTGTTTCAGTATATGCCTGTAATCCCAGCACTTTGGGAGGCCAAGGCAGTAGTATTGCTTGAGCCCAGAATTTGCAAACAGCCTAAGGCAACAGAGTGAGATCTCGTCTCTACAAAAAAATAAAAATGAAAAAAGTAGCCGGGCATGATGGCTTGTGCCTCTATCCCAGCTACTTGAGAAGTTGAGGTGGGAAGGTCACCTGAGCCCAGGAGGTCAAGCGCGCTGATTCCTTTTTAATTTTTTTTTTTTAAATTAGGAGTCTCTTGATAGGATATGGATTTCTTATCCTTATTTTAATCAGGGTAGCCAATTAAATGGGGTTTTAAAATATGCTTAACCCAGGAGTTGGAGACTGCTGTGAGCCGTGATCGTGCCACCACTGCACTCCATCCTGGTTAACAGAGTGAGGTCCTGACTCAAAAAATAAAATAAAATGTGCCTAAAATTTAAAGCATATTTAGGCCTAGCCCTTTTTCCTTCTATTTCTTTCTTTATCTGTTTCTTAGCCCTTTTTTTGAGCTCTGTCTTTGCTCCCATTGCTGTCAGACTTTTTATACTTTTCAGATAGACTCTCTACAAAGCCATCATACTTGAGGAGCAGATCGGTGTGATTTGACTCAGAAGAAACCTCCTTGCTTAAAAGTTTAACTTTTAACATTTTATGTAGCATGTTCAATGATTAGTGATTCTTGTCATCTGAAATTTGTGTTGTTTTTTCTTCACTCAAGTTATAGAGTTTAATTCATAAGACTTTGAAAACAATGCGATATTTTTACAACAAAACATAAGAAGTCAGTGGATAGAGTGCTTGTTGGTGGTGCTTTAATTGTATCTGGGTCTGTAGAAAAGTGCAACATACCTTAAACTGGGGTTTCTTTTTTCTACTCTTTATTTTACTAGTAAAATGAGTTTTATGACCATATTGCTGAAGTCAGTGTAATACATTTGGAATAGATTTTCTGTTGAAAGAGTAAAATTATCACTAATGAAGCTAAGTTTAAGTAGTTTTAGAATAAGGATATTAGTTTAATCAATAACAGTAAAGACTTCTGATATGTTTATTATTTCGGTTATTGCCCAGGCAAATTCTGAATAATTAGTGAGCAGAATTTTACAATCAGCAAATTAAGAATATAATAACACAAAAATTTTGCTTAAAATCTTGAAGATCCATCATTTTGCCTCATGTGAAAAATGGGCTAACACTTTTGCTTGAATACTACTTTTTGGCAAGTGTCTGTCATTCCTTATAGAAATCGGATAAATTTCCCCTCACATTTGTAACTTTCAGGTACAGCTAAAAGTTCACTCCTCAGAGTGCACTTGGCATAGCACTTGGGAGAAAGCTCTGTAAGAGCAGTGACTCTTGGGAGACCCATCTGTTTTTGCCGTTAGCTCCAGTCTTGAGGCATTGCCTCTGTTTTGGCAAAAGCCATTTGTTAGAAAATCAAGTAGAAATTCATCCATCTTTGTTTCTCTTGTTTTCTTCTACATTCTTTACCTATTTCTAGCTCAAGTCTTGCATTTCCTTATCTCTGTAATGGATTCTAGGATTCCTCACTCCTTAGATTTTTGTCCTTAAACCCTGTTACTAAAACTTTTACCTCTGCTCTGAATTTTTACTCTAGTTCCTAGTTTCAGCTTTGATTTCCCTCAGAGGATCTTTTGGTAGTCCTTAGAAATTGCAGTAGGAACATATATCCTCTGAGAGGGACAGAGATCTCTAGGAAACCAAAGAATTATGCACTAGATGGGACGTAATGCATGGAACAGAGAATGAAGGCTCAGAAGTGCTGGATCATGGATTTTCTCAGCCTCAGTGTTTCATGAAGACGTGACCAACACATACTCCTCCTTTTCTGTTTGTGTATTTAAACCCTGTTCTTTTAAAACTGAACAGTCCAGCTCATGTTTTTCTCTCAAACCTTCTCTAACAGTTTCTTCCCACATTATTTCTATTCTGTTGATTTCTGCAGAATTTGTAGACATTTCTTTTAGTTTTTTTTTAAACATGTGAGTCTGATTTATTCCAGAATACCAAACAGGTAGATAAATCCTTTTATAGAGCTCTGTGTCTCTCAGACTCCCTCCTTTTGTTCCTATGCCTTTTCTCTTGTACCTGATAGTCTGGCAGGTGGTTGGTCATTGAAGGATATGCACACATACCATTTAAAATGCGTCTACTTCTGTTTTGGCAGGTCATCTGTCAGTGGGTGATTTTATAACAAAGGCAGTGTCTTCTGTGAGTTAGAGATATGTGACTGGCTAGCTGTAGAAATAATGCTGAAGTTCAGGAGTGCTGGCAAGCACTGAGATTTGTAATGAACATTATATATATTTTAAAATTTATTTTAATGATATGAGTACAATTCAGGATTAGGTATACAAGTGGTCGTTATATGAACATTATATTATATCTCAGTAGTGAAGGGGGTATTGAATGTACCAAAAAGGATAGAGCAGGAAAGGTAGGAGCACTATAGAAAAATGCATAAGGCATAACATGGGCCTGAGAAGTGGTTCCCTGTGTAGAATCTCCAAAACCTGTGAGACCAGGCAGCCTTTCAGTCATAAAGAACCTGCTCTTGCCTCCACTGCTGTCTACATTCCTTCACCATAGCCCAGTAGGAATTTGTGAGCTGTGGCCCTGCGTCAGCCTTCAGTACCTACATGAAATATTTCTTCTGTTTTGGGATGTTTCTCTTGGTAGGGAAAAATGGGGACTTTTAAAACTTTTCCTCCTTATGCCTTCACTCAGCTCTTGATGACTTTTTATTTTATAGAATAAAAAAATACACACATAATGAAATTATTGTTATAGTCAGCCACCAGAGTTTCATTCCAATTTCCCAGTAAGACTTGGAAAAGTATAATGAACACTCCCACTTGTGATTCAGAACCGTTAACTTCACATTTACGTGCCAGATGATAATTCTGCTATGTTTGTAACTTAAAAATAATACATGTGGAATTCCTATTATGAAGTGGCTACAGTGTTACTTTGTTTTATCCTGAATTTACGGTGTGTACCCACACACGTATGCAAACACATTAAATTTCCTTCTACCAATACAGTTTAGTCGTGTGTTTTGCTGCTTGTCAGGCACTATTGTTTTCCCTGAAAACTTACCTCAAAATAGTTTTTAGGATAACGATGGCTATCTGGCAATTATGTTTTTACCAAATTATTTCAGGTTTATAAAAAATTGTTTTGTTTGGCATTTATTCCTATTTTTTAAAAATCTCAAATGATAGTATTTATATTCTGCATAACGTATTTATTGTTTTATTTAGTATAAAAACATCACAAAGGGAGAACTGCTTTGAGGAAATATGGAAAAATTCGTTTAGCTTATTAGAAAGATATTACAGTATTAGGGAAGTATAAAATTAGATTGTTTGAACATTTTACAGGGACTCTGATTTTTTAAGTGATTTAAATTGCTCATCTAACCCCATTAGCCAAACAAACATAATTATTTGATGATTCTACCGATGATAAAATGTGCTGAGTTTTATTTACACACATCTATCAGATTTTAATTTATAGGTTGTTTATTTTTTATTGCTTTTTTGGGTAGGTTCAAAGACCTTACAGAAGATACTGCAATTTAAACAAAAACACCCTGTATACACAAACCTAAATCAAATCAGAGTTGGAAAGCTGTTTTCAAATATTTTAGCAATCCCATGTATAGAATAAAACTCTCCTTTCTTCTTTTTCTATTCCTGCTCCTTTTCCTTCCTGTTTCTAGCAAATTGATGTAGTTTTAGTGTTTGGTTCACTTTTCCCTCATCTCTTAAAGTAACCTTGGGTTTTATGTTGTTTAAGGTTGAGCTTAAAGGACTTTGGTTACCACTTTAAGAATCTTCTGGTATTGTAAATTAAGATTTATAGTTTTAAAAGCTAATGGTTATTTGTTAATAATACTCCTAAATTTTTCCTCAAATGTGGATTAATTTTTTTAAGAAAAACTTTTTCCGGCATTTTCATTTTAAGATATAATTAGTATACCCTCTGCTTTTTAATGAGAGGGAGAGCAAGGATGAATTAACCTTTATTCTTACTTAAAATTCAGTTTGTTTTGTATTTATTGTTTAAAAGCAGCAGCAAAAGGATTACAAATGAGTGCTTCACTTTAAAAATATTGAAATTTCAGCCGGGCGCAGTGACTCATGCCTGTAATCCCAGCACTTTGGGAGACTGAGACAGGAGGATTGCTTGAGCCCAGAAGTTTGAGATTAGCCTGGGCAACATAGCGAGACCTCATCTCTACAAAAATAAAAATATAAGCCGGGCGTGGTGGCGTGCGCCTGTGGTCCCAGCTACTCAGGAGGCTGAGGTGGAAGGATTGCTTGAGTCCAGGAGGTTGAGGCTGTGGTGAGCCATGATCGTGCCACTGCACTCCAGCCTGGGCAACAGAGTGAGACCCCGACTCATAAAGAACATTTCAAAGGTATCATTTGTCATTAAAGATTGTTTTAACATCACACGCAACGTATTCACTGGGCTATTACTCATTTGAGAAACTTGTTTCTTGATATATTATTTCTTGACAGTTCAGAAAACAAGTAATATTTTAGAATGAAAAAAAAAATTCCACCAAAGTCAGAGTTAGTTTTGATAGCCTTAGTACTCTATATACAACTGTGATTTGCTGTCTTAAAATTTATATTTTGAAATTAGTTATACATGTATTCTGATTTCAGTGATATAATGTCTTGCAGTTTTACTTTATAGTTTGAATAATCTAGACAGTCTTATTAGAAAAGTTGAGATCCTTTTTTGAAATGTATTTTGAAGATGGGAATTCAAAATATTAGGGGCTTAAAATAGGGTCAGGTATGAACCTGTATGGTTAACATTAACTAACACATTGGTAGTCTCAAAAAACTTGAGACTGCACTTGAACTATATTTGTGAGTGACTTCTCTTAGCTCCTAAAGATAACTGGATTTCTAGGACTCTCTGTGTAAGTGCTCACATAACTCCTTTGGTGACATTATTACCAAATTACCCATCTTTTTCATACTTGCATTTTCAGTTGGGGGCAGACTAGTGAGAGGAGTCATGGCCCAGGTCTGCATTAGGCCTATGTCGTATCTTTCTCATACCTGAATTAACCTTCAGTTTGAACCTGAGTGAGTCTAGTTCCGATTGGAGCCACAACATTGCCTCTGGCCCTCCTCACTGGTGGAGGGGATAGCTCAGCACTAACTTTCTGATTCAGATGTTTAGGAACTTGGCTTGAACTCCTAGCAGTTTTCAGGTAGGTGATTCCCTCATAAGAGAACTTTAAATAAATCTGAATTTTAAGGCTGGCCTACAGTTTAAAAATCTAAATTTTTCTCTGTATGTCGTATAGTTCATTTTCTGTTATCTAGTTACAGCAGATGCTATGCATAGTTGCATTTTTTGGGGGAAATAAATTTTGTTTATGATATACTTACTATCCAAAGGAAGCTATCTAAAAACTAAGGAATTGCTTAAAGACATTATTGTTTCAGATTGAGTTACTCTTGATAAAAGCAAAAGTTTTATAGTTATCCTTCTTAATTTCAATTGAATTTAATATTAGATAGTCTAACCAGTGATCTGTTGGTGTGATGGCCTAATGGCAAATAAAGTTTTTTCATTTGAGAAGTCTATAAACATTTGAAAATCTCACCTTAGGAAGAGTCCTTTGAGTACAACTATGGAATAATAGTAGAGTAGAAATTGCATATGAAATGCATGGCCTCTAATTTTTTCCCCCTATGTTTAAACCTGCCCTCCTTTGTTGAATAGCACAGTGTTATTTCCCAAATATGCCATTTAATTTCACTGCCTACTGTTAAGTTTTCCTCAAAATTTTTTAGGTGAGTACCCAGAATATGAAGATGGGAGGGCTGCCACGTACAACTCCTCCAACTCAGAAACCCCCAAGTCCCCCTATGTCAGGGAAGGGGACACTTGGGTAAGTAGATAAGTAATAAGTGAAAACCATTTCATGTAGTGTTGCATTTAAAAATGAAACAGCGTATATTTATTTTTGAATATTTAAAGAGAGAACATGTTCTTTCCAGGATTGTATTTTGTGTGTGTAACTTTATCTTTTCTTGGAAAATATATCTTTATTCATTAAAAATATTTTGTTTAGAAATTATTTTCTAATGAATTTTAAATTTGAGGTAAAATCCTTGCCCAAGTTTATGGGTTATTATAAATTGCAGTCTAATATTCATTCCTTTTTTGTTCCAGAGATGTTTAGTCTTTTATAGTTGAACTCAAACTTTCCTTCTCAAGAATTCTGTGTGATTAAAGAATTCTGTAGAGCTTGTTATAAGAATATTGAGCTTTAGTTGGTCCTGTAGAATTGGGCTCTGGATTTGACTTTTGGCAAAAATGGTAAATTAATGGAAGCAGCTTTGACCTTTTTCTTCTATAGCAACATAATATAAACTTGGTATACTGTGATTGAGATTTATGATCGGGTAATATAGCCCAGAAGCCAGATGAATAAAATTCTGGTCCAGCTCTGCTGATTACTTTGTGGTCCTACATAGTCAGCCTCTCAGCAATTCAGTGTTTTCATCTGTAAAAGGGGGGTAGTATTTGTCACCTATCAACTTTTCAGGGTCACTGTACCACAAATTGGATTTTAAAAATATATAAGATAAAGACAAAATGCTTTGACAACCATTGGCTTTATGAGATACACTAAAACATTTTTAATTGACAGTCTTGTTTTTGGCTCCCTCACCTAAACAAAACAAAACAAACCTCAAAACACCAAAACCCAGTCAAGCACTGTGGATCAGGACAGGACAAAGATGAGTTGGGATATAGTGGAAGATAGTGTTGGAAGAGGAATAATAGGATGGGGGGAGACAAAATAATAAAAGTGAATTTCCATCAGGAATAGGATGGCTTTTTAGGGGGTGGGCAGAAAATTTCTGTTTAGATTAGAGAGGAGAGAATCTAGAAGATCAAATAAAATTTGAACTTCAGGGTAGAATGTAGATGACCTAGTAGTGTATAATGGTGCAGTGGTAAGAGTAGAGAAATCAATAGGAACTCTTCGCTTTTATTTCCTTATGGAACATTTACGTTTCTAGCATGTAGAGTGCCTAATGGATTTTGCTAGGTTTTAAATAAAATTTGTTAGCAAAAAACCCGCTTAGTCTTTAGAAAAATAAAATGTTGCTCTCAAACTTTGAAGATTTATCCATATACCATTATTTGTTTTCCTTGTATATCAGCAGTGGATCTGTGGAACCTTTGGGGATCCAAGATGCTGAGGCCCTCTTTGCCAGTTGATGTCACAATAGTCTATTTTTTTCACATAGTCTTTGCCTAGTTGCCATATTTTGTTCCTCTGTCCCCCCCCCTTTTTTTTTTTACCTTGTTTGTGTCATTACCTTTACTGCATAGTTTTAATTATTAAAGGGTTTTTACTTGGATGAAACAGGACATTTTTATTGCTTGGAAAAAGTTTTCTGAAAATTAGAAGTTGGGAAATTAATGTTTTCTACTTTATTTTTTATATTTGCATTATAATTTTAGAGGTGTCTGAGCTTCTTTTTTAGTATTTTAAGTTCAAAGTATTCCCTTTGACCCAGTATTTCATCCAGTGTTCCTCATTTATTTTCATTGTGTGTGTGTGTGTGTGTGTGTATGTGTGTGTGTCTGAGAGACTGTGAAAGGTAGTAGAGTGAACAGGGTCATTGTAAAGCGATCTCATTCAATATCAGTAAGCTGTAACTTGAGCGGCCCAGGAAAGCAATAGTTGAAGGAACCTTGGGAACCTTTTGGAAAGTGAATTATTGAGAAATACCTTGGTTGAGCAGCATAATTTGAAGAAAAGCATGGGTTTTAATTTTCAAGACCAGAATTTCATCTGCATGATGTCAGTGTCATGTCAATTGTGTGTTTTATCATTGTCACAGAGAATTTGGGAACTTAGAGATGCAAACTAATTTAATAATCACAAATTTTCCAGTGTGTGTCTTATTTTCTATCATACTTCCTTTCTTCATCCTCTCAGCCTCTTCCTTTTAAAGGAAATTTTGAGAAAAAGAGGGAGATACATGTTAATAAAATCTAGTCTATTTTGAATTTTACAGTTCGAAGATAAGCGCTGTTTCCCCTTCCCTGCTTTTGCCCCACCTTTGTAAATATTGACATCTGAGGAGAAGAGAGAGAAAAGAGATCAAAGTAGAAGTTAAGTGAGAAAGTAAGGTTGTGAGAATGGAAGTTGAGATCAGTTTGTGGACTTTTTTTGTATTCGGATAAACTTTTTTTTTTGAGTTGGAGTCCCACTCTGTCGCCTAGGCTGGAGTGCATTGGCACACTCATGGCTACCCCAGTGTCGACCTGCTGGGCTCCGGTGATCCTTCTGCCTCAACCTTCCAAGTAGCCGGAACTACAGGCGCGCGGCTACCATGCCGGCTAATTTTTTATTTATTGTAGAGATGAGGTTTCGCCAAGTTGCCCAGACTGGTCTTGAACCCGCGGGTACAGGCAGTCCACTCTCCTTGGCTTCCCAAAGTGCTGGGATTATAGGTTGAGCCTCCGAGCCCTGCCAAACTTTAATTTCTATGTAATTAGTGTATAGAAAGGGAAATGAGTTGTTATGGCTCACATTGACCATTACTATGGGTGTTGTACATCTAAAATCTAGAATTGTTGTTTCTGTCTTTGAATATCTTTGGTTATGAAGAGAGGAGAGAGGAGTATAATTAGTGCATTCATGCAGTGCAGTTGGGAGACTTTGACATGATACTAAAGTAATTCAAACTCTTCTCAGAAAAGAGTAGCATCTGGGAAACCTTGACTTAAAATGGTGGAGAACCTTTGCGCTCTCTGAGAATAAATAAACAAAATTGCATTAGCACAGGGAACTGAGGTTGGAGACTGAAAAACCAGCAATACTCATCAAATCCCGAGTGGTGGAGAAGTGGTGCTTTAGGAAAGACTGAACTTGGTAGCTGGGTTTTGTTAAGACACATTTCCTATCTCCGATTACCAATTGTATTTCACGACAGGCAGCTCTGAATTTCTTGTGCCGAAGCTTGCTTAATCATACCATACATACGCTCTTCTTTTTGTAGGCGGCACTCCCCCTATCGCACACTGGAGCCCGTGCGTCCTCCAGTGGTACCAAATGATTACGTCCCCAGCCCAACCCGTAATATGGCTCCCTCGCAGCAGAGCCCTGTGAGGACAGCTTCTGTGAATCAGAGAAATCGAACTTACAGGTATTTTCTCTACCTCAGTGCAAAATGTGATGGTCTTAGTACCATAACCTGTTCAGATAACTCCAGTTCAATCTCTCTCATTTTCCAAGTACTAAGTTCTTTCCTCACTCTCCTCTTCCAACCTCATCTGATTCCACCTCTCTCTCCTCATGTTCTGATGCAACTTTGAGCAGACCGGAAGTTGAAAAAGAATAGACATCCTGAAGTGCAAACTTCTCTACAAGGCTAATAATTTAGTTGATCTGGAAAAAAAAAATATGGACCAAGTGTGGGGAATTTCAAGTTGTTTTTTGGTGGAACTTTACAGATGAAAAACTATATACAAAATATTAATGTGGAATAGTTTATCAAGCTATGATTGTAAATTAAAATTAGTCAAATCTGTTAAGGAAATGTTTTATAAAAGCAGTTTCTTCAGACAGACACTAAACTGGAATATAAGAAGGTAATATTGTTTTTTAATGTGTTAAGTCCCTACACTTAGTTAGCACTTATGTTTATAGGGGATTTTTTTTCTTAGTATCTTTAGTACATGCTATTAAAATGTGGTCAAAGCAAGCTTATTGGACCCAGTTTTCCCCCAACTTTATTAAGACGTTTATATTTTTATACACACACACACACACACCACACACACACACACACACACACACACACACACACACACACACACACTCTCACACACCCTCACACACACTCACACTCACCGTCACAGACTTGAAGCTCAAGGAAATTTACATTTGTAGTGGAATGCTTTTGAATTATCTTCATTGTAGCTGTATTCATTTCAGAAAGTTTTGGCACGTGCCAGTGATATCTGATTGTATGCAAATGCTCACATCTTGGTGACTCTTGTTTCTTCAGCAGCAGTGGGAGTAGTGGAGGAAGCCACCCGAGCAGTCGGAGCAGCAGTCGTGAGAACAGTGGAAGTGGGAGTGTGGGGGTCCCCATTGCTGTTCCCACCCCCTCTCCTCCCAGTGTCTTTCCAGGTAACACACCCATGGGGCTTCAGCTTTTCTCTTCCTTTTTGAACTTGATTTCAGCTTGCCATTTAGTTATGGAAGGTTTTCTTCATCATCGGGATTTTTTTCTTTAGGACTCCATAAATGTTGGGAAGTCTTTAGACATTTACTGTTTTTACCAGGTGATTTGTAGGTTTTTGCTCACTTTGCACTTCTCTTTATGCCTTTGGTGATGCGGCTAAGTTGCTGCTTTGAGGTTTCAGGTATCACGTTGGCATGAGTCACATGTTTATTCCAGCTGGCTTTATGACAGTGTCTGTCTTTGTTCACAGTGGGGATTCAGTGTGAGGATCATATGGTAACAAAGGACTGGGCAAATATAAAAATAGCTTTGACAGTTAAATTTAGTGGACTTATTGGAACTTAGTAGTCTCTGAAAATGCTAATCTCTTTTCTCTGAAACAGAAAAATGTGCTTATTTGATATAGGATACACAGTTAAAATTTAGCTTTAAGCCGGGCTCGGTGGCTCAGCCTGTAATCCCGCGCCTTTGGGAGGCTGAGGTGAGTGGATTGCCTGAACCCGCGGGTTTGAGACCCACCTGGGCAGTGAGACCTCATCTCTACAATAAATCAAAAAATCAGCCAGGCATGGTAGCGCATGCCTGTAATTCTGGCTACTCAGAAGGCTGAGGCGGAAGGATTGCTGGAGGCCAGCAGGCGAGGCTGTGGTGGCCGGGAGCAGCCACTGCACTCCAGTCTGGGTGACCGAGTGAGACTCCAACTCAAAAAAAAAAAAAAAAAAATTTAGCTTTAAAAGCTCGACACAAAAGGCAAATAGAATATTACACATTTAGTTTACTTATAATAGCGTGGAAAAATTTGTGTGTTTTTTTTTTATTCTTCTTTTACCTGATGAGATGTTGTTTGGAGTAAATGTCCATTTTCTGATTTGTGTAATTCAAACAGAATACTGTTGTTTTTTAGTGAATTATGTTTAGTTTTGTATACTATTTATAGACTGTTAAGCTAAAAATAACTCTGAAAGGGAATACTTCCAGAGTAGGGCTTTCAGGTAAAAAGGAATGTTTGCTTTTAATGAATTAAAAAAATCTGTGCATTACCCTGAGCATCTTGAATTATTTGCTGCATACCTAATAATCCTTTAACATAAGTTTCATTCTTTTTTCTAATTCTCTACACTTTTGGTTAGTGTTAAGCGTTGATTATCTAACATTAACTACTCGAGTGCCTTTTCTAATCCTGCCTGACTTGACAGCCTCATTAACGCTGCCTCTTCCTCCTCTTTCCCTTCAGCCCCTGCTGGCTCTGCTGGCACTCCTCCCCTTCCTGCTACTTCTGCATCTGCCCCTGCCCCTCTTGTTGCTGCTACTGTCCCTTCCTCCACTGCCCCAGACGCTGCGGCTGGGGGTGCCCAGACCCTTGCTGATGGCTTCACTTCTCCAACTCCCCCTGTTGTTTCTTCCACTCCCCCTACAGGTGAGTATGGGCTTGTTCACTGTCAGGCACATCTACCATCTGCCTGCTCTCTTGCCTGCAACTCCAACTTCATGATTTTTGTTTTTATTTGGTTAGGTTGTACTTTGTATTAAAAAATAAGAAGAATGTGCTAACTAGAAAGTGGCATGTAACCAAAGATGAGTTCATGAGAAAGTCAGGGTAAAGTTTCTCATTTTCTCCATAGGGTAATGTAAATATTTTTTACTGCCTAAATTTATTTTATTAGAGATTTTTGAATTTAGTATAGAGCCACCTTTTATATGGTTTTGAGAAATTGTCATTAGAAATATTGTTTGGTAAGGGTTAAGTCATTCACAAATCTACGACAATAATTTTGTGGTTTATTTTATAGGAAATATTTGTTATAACAAGTTGAAAGTCTCTATTTTGTCAGAATCTGTTGCAAGAATTTCAAGCTTATTTAAGTTGGTTATTTATTTTAGTGTTTTAAAATTACAACCTAAATCTGTTTTGATGGAGGAAGAGATAGACTCAATCATTACAAGATATATTTGTACAGTTAATAGTGATGCTGGTTGGTAAACGAGTTCTTACCTTGTTATAAGATATATGTGTTTGGACACATATCACCTTGATGTTCAGTTTGCCAGTAAGGTACTTCACAGAGTATATATTTAGCTTACTGCATAACCAGATGTCTACATACTTTAAAAAATCCTTCAACTAAAATGAACTTTGGGTGGTGTTTTATTGGATTCCTTTTATAACGGTGTTTGTATTTATTTATTTGTAAAATATATATAATGGAACTTTTAAAGAAAAGCTCTCTACAGTGGATAAATGTAAACGTGGACTGTTTTTTGATCTTCATGCGACTGTTAGACAAGACTAACTAGTTAAATATAGGAACCTTGTTGTGCTTCTTTTCAGTAGAGTAAAGAATGCATCTTGGAATTGGCTGTAAGCCCAGAAAAAGGACAAATCACCCCCAACCAAGAGTCTGCATTTTTAATTAAATGTTAATTTGATAACAGGTGCCTGGCTCATAATGTTCACTAAATATTTGTTATGTGAGTGGATAATTATGTTTTTTCTTTTTTTTTCTTTTTAGCAAAAAGCAGGTTAAAGACCTTACCAATAATTTATATAAATATGATCTTTTTAATACAATGTCTTTGAGTCACCAAGCACTTTTTTGTTCTTTTTACTAAGGTATAATTTATATACAGTAAAATCCACCCTTTTAAGTGTATATATCTTTGAGTTTTGGTAAGTGTTTACAGTCACATAACTAACACCATAATCAAGATGTAGAACAGTCCTGTCATCCTCAAAATTTCCTTCATGTCCCCTTTGTAGTCAGTCCTTCTCCTCTGTACCTAGCTCCTGGTAAGCCCTTGATCTGCTTTTTGTCTTTCAATTTTGCCTTTGTAAGAATATCACCTAAATGGAAGCAGTATAATATGTAGCTTTTTGGGTCTGGTTTTTTGGCCATATGCATTTGAGATTTACCCATGTTACTGCTTGTTTGAGTATTTTGTTGCTTTTGATTGCTGAACAGTGTTTTATTCTATAGATGTACCACAATTTGTTTATCCCTTTCCCAGCTGAAGGAAATTTAGATTGCTTCCAGTTGTGTGTGATTATGAATAAAGCTGCCATAAACATTCACATACAGTTTTTTTGGTGAACATTTGTTTTTATTTCATTTGGATAAATACCTATGAAGTAGAATATTGCTTGGTTGTATTTTAAGTGAATGTCTATCTTTATAAGAAATTTCCAGCCGAGCTCGATGGCTCAACCTGTAATCCCAGCACTTTGGGAGGCTGAGGTGAGTGAATTGTCTGAGCCCGTGGGTTCGAGACCCATCTGGGCAACTTGGCGAGACCTCATCTCTACAATAAATCAAAAAAAATTAGCCGGGCTTGGTAGTACGCGCCTGTAGTTCCAGCTACTTGGAAGGCTGAGGCGGAAGGATTGTCGGAGCCCAGCAGGTTGAGGCTGCGGTGGCCGGGAGCGGCCAGTGCACTCCAGTCTGGGTGACAGAGTGAGACTCCAACTCAAAAAAAAAAAAAAAAAGAAATTTTCAAGTTGTTTTCCATAGTGGCTATACAATTTTGCACACCCACTAACAATGTATGAGTTTCCATTTGCATCCTTGTCAGCACTTGGTATTGTCAGGTTTTAAACTTCAACCATTTTAATTCATGTGCAGTGGTTTTGATGTGTATTTTCCTAGTGACTAATGATGCTGAACATCTTTTCCTGTGCTTATTTGCTACCTATCTGTATATCTTCTTTGGTGAAGTATCTGTTCAAATGTTTTGCTCCTTCCTGCGTTGTTAACAGGGTAATTTTTTCCTTATCATTGAAGTCTTTTATATCCTGAATATATGCCCTTTATCAATTATGAGTTGCAGATATTTTCCATTTTTTGATTTTTTTTCTCTCCGTCTCTCTCTCTCTCTTGTCTCACAGTCAGGTCTCACAGTGACACACAGCTCACCACAGCCTCAACCACCTGGGCTTAGGTGATCTTTTTGTCTCAGCCTCTGGAATAGCTGGGACTAAAGGCACGTGCCACCATGCCTGGCTAAATTATTATATTATTTTTTACAACTTTTTTGTAGAGACAAGGTCTTGCTATGTTTCCCAGGCTGGTCTCAAATTCCTGGGCTCGAGCAGTTCTCCTGCTTTGGCCTCCTAAAGTACTGGGATTACAGGTGTGAACCACTGCACCTGGCCTCTTTCAATTTCTTTAATAGTATCTTTGAAATAGCAAAAATTCTTCATTTTGATTAAGTCCTCTTTGTCGGTTTTTTTAAATGGAGTGTTATGGATTATACTTTAGGCGTCTTTTCTAAGAACTCTTTATCCAAGGTCATAAAGATTTTGTTCTGTGTTTTCTTCTAGACGTTTTTGGTTTTAGATAGATAGTTAGGTCTATGATAATTAGCTGTTATTTTTTTAAAGACCCCAAACAAGGTAAATATCTTGTTAATTTTATGAAGAGTGTCTTTTTTCTGTAGTGTCTTTGAATCACTGCAGACTTAGAATGTGTGAGGCTTTAGAGTGAATCTAACTTTATAACATTCATAATGATTTTAATCATCAGATGTTTTTAACTTGACAACCCTAGGTTTGTATTAGTTTGTTAATAGCTTAATTACTAAAATGCTAGCCGGGCTCGGTGGCTCAACCTGTAATCCTGCGCCTTTGGGAGGCTGAGGTGAGTGGATTGCCTGAGCCCGCGGGTTCGAGACCCACCAGGGCAACTTGGCGAGACCTCATCTCTACCATAAATCAAAAATTAGCCGGGTGTAGTAGCGCGCGCCTGTAGTTCCAGCTACTTGGAAGGCTGAGGTGGAAGGATCGCCGGCGCCCAGCAGGTGAGGCTGCAGTGGCCGGGAGCGGCCACTGCACTCCAGTCTGGGCAACAGAGTGAGACTCCAACTCAAAAAAAAAAAATGCTGATAATGTATTTGTATCCACTGGTTCAAATGACTAAATATGCCTTTTAAAGAATAGTTTATTAGTTTACATTTTTTATCATGGTTATAGACACTTCTCAGTTGATAGTGGATTATGTTTAGTATTGAATGCTTAAGAGTTTATACAACAGAGTTGACTTTTAGGTTTTTGTACATATGTCAGAAGATTAAATGCTATAACATCTTGCATGCTTTTGTAATAGTCTTCATATTACTTCATATGAATCCAAGTTTGATGGATTTATGGAGTTCTTGAGCAATTTTAGTAATGTAAAAACATTTTCATAATCATAGATAAGACTGAAAAATTGTTGAGTGTTTTTTTCCCTCTACTGCTTTTAATTAAAGTTACCAAGAAGATAGAGTCACATATTAAAATAGAATAAAGATGGTAAGATTCGGCTGGGAAATACAAAGGCTGGAGGAGGATATGACCACAGTGTATGTGAGCATGAGAATTCTAACAAAGTGAATAAGCATGCGCCTTATGCTACCTTAAATAAGTGTTGTTTCACTGAGTTTTGATTAGTTTATTTTAAAATTTAAACATTTCTAGGTAATAGACACAGAGGGATAGTAACTGAGCTTGTTCGCTCCTTGCCTCCCACCCTCATTCTCCCCCTTCTCCAGTGGGCTGGCCTCTGTGAAATGCTTCAGTGTACCCTCTTGCCTTCTAGCTTCCTGTTGGGTTTGGCGTAAGGGTTTTATTCTTTCACTTCTTCCTTCCCTTGTCCTTTCTCCCTTCCTTTCCCCTCTTCTTACTTTCCTCCTCCTTAGTCCCCTCCCCCCTTCTCACTTCTGCCCTCTCCTTCTCTCCTGCCTGCTGACCTACCCTCTAGTGCTATCTGTAACAACAGACCTCGCTTCAGTTGTAAGCAGGGGTGAGGTCCAAGTAACATTTAGTAACTGGATTGTTTTATTAGGAAATTGATGGATTGGGGAAACATGTCTCCAACTGCAGTAGGTGTTGAAGAACTCTCAGGAGAACAAAATGTAGTGAAACGGATGATAAATATGTACAGATTCAGGGGTGAAGTTAACAATAAGATATATTTTGATTTTTTTTGTATCCTAGTTTTTTTATTATAAAATTCTTAAATTTTTATTTTAAAGCAATAATCTAACTTTAGAGATGAATATTTTTGATTGACTAAAAATGTGTTTGACTCGAAATTGTCATTTGACTTTTGCTGAATACTTTGTTTTCCTTTAAACAAATTTCTTTGCTACCTTAAATTTATTATTATTACCATTATTTATTGTTTTGAAATAAGATTGTTAAACAGTTTTTTTTTTTGCTTTTTCAAATGCCATTTCCTGTTGAGTTTTAGTTTTCAGTGTTTAGTGTCTGGTTTTTGGGGGAGTAAATTTTAATTAATTGTAATGATTTTTGAAATCCCTTCAAATTATTAATTTAATAAAATCATCATGTAATCGATTCAGATGGAGCTTTTCTAAATTTAATTGTGTTTTTTTTATTTTCCTGCTTTTGTACTTTGATATAATGTCAGCTTAACAATAACTGTCACCTTGCATTATGTCTTTCAGATAGCAATTAAATAAGCTAAATGTTATTTTTAATAACCTTATTAAGATTTAGGCATCGTACATAAAGTATTTTATTATCTGACATACTCTCTTGTAATGACACATTTGTGTTCTGTCCCATTTCAGGTCATCCTGTTCAGTTCTACAGCATGAATAGACCTGCCTCTCGCCACACTCCTCCAACAATAGGGGGCTCATTACCCTATAGACGTCCTCCTTCCATAGCTTCACAAGCCAGCCTTCAGAGTCAGATGAACGGAGGACCTTTTTATAGCCAGAATCCAGGTTAGATTTTTTTTTTACATTCTACAGAATGTATCTAATTAAAAACCTTCAATTAAAAAAACTCCTTAATTATAAATAAATAGCACATGATATGTGGTTGGTACTATTTGTTGAATGAGTGGAAGAATGAATGAATAGTATTTTGCTAATACTGTGTCTTTCAATTCTTTTTAAAAAATTAATACATGATTTCCATGTAAAGTCATATAACTTTTCTGAGCAGAATTCTTTTGAATGTTTTAGTGATATTTGCTTTTTAAAAATAATATTGTGATGAATGGTATTTCCTTTTTATTTAATCAGATATCCTTGCTCTGTGAATAACATAATGAAAGTTTGGTGTACATGAACAGAATTTAAATGTGGCAAAGGAAAAGGGAAATGACGTTTTTGAATTTACTTTGTGCTAGGCAATTATGCTATCTCTTTTTTTAGAAGTAGTTTAGTTCTGTCATCCAGGCTAGAGTGCAGTGTTGTGACCATAGCTCACTACATCCTCAAATTCCTGGGCTCAAGTGATCTTCCCACCATAGCCTCCTGAGTAGTTGAGTCTACACATGCATACCACCATGCCTAGCTTATTTTTTTGAATTTTTATTTATTGTAGAGATGGGGTCTTGTTATGTTACCTAGGATGTTCTCAGACTTCTGGCTTCAAATGATCTTCCTGCCTTGACCTCCCAAAGTGCTGAGATTACAGGTGTGAGCCACTCTACCTAGCCTATACTGTCTTATTCAATTCTCATACCCAACCCATGGTGGGAAAACTAGGATTTAGAGAAACTGATCTAGATTTAATTATTAATTAAAATAAGTAGGAAATCAGTTGCATCATGCATGCAGAAAACTTAATCTGGCACATATTTAATGCTATATGCATTCATTTTGTTTAGTGCACAGAGAGGGCAAGACCAGATAGATTCTATGACTGTTGTGGACATGGTGTGTCAACTTACTGTGTTTTTCTGAGTTTTTGCCAAGAAGCCCATGTGTGAACACCTCAGATATTAGGGACAACCTGTTCCATCTTTGATAAGCCTTGCATTTTATGGAGCTGAAATTTGTCTATTGTGGCTATCACCTGTAGTTATATTTTTTAGAGTCTTACAGAAATTTGGTGTTCCTTCTATATTAAACACTTACAATTTAAAGAATGCTTTTATATTTGTTATTTCATTTGATTCTTAGAATCATGTTGCTTGTATGATTGGTGTTCATTTTCTTTTCTTTTTTTTTTGAGTTGTAGTCTCACTCCATCACCCAGCCTGGAGTGCAGTGGCTGCTCCCGGCCACCGCAGCCTCAACCTGCTGGACTCCAGCAATCCTTCCGCCTCAGCCTTCCGAGTAGCTGGAACTATAGGCGCGCACTACCACACCTGGCTCATTTTGATTTATTGTAGAGATGAGGTCTCGCCAAGTTGCCCAGGCGGGTCTCGAACCCACGGCCTCAGGCAATCCACTCACCTCAGCCTCCCAAAGGTGTGGGATTACAGGCTGAGCCACCGAGCCCGGCTGGTGATCATTTTCATATGTGTTTTATAAGTGAGGAAACTGAGGCTGAAGTGATGGTCAAGTGATGATTTGAACTTAGATTTCCATATTCCAGGTTCCATGTTCTCTCTACTATCTTATCCTACCTACCTTCAGATTTAAAAAAAAAAAAAATCTCTCTCTTACCCTCCCAGGTCTTTCCTTTTTTGAGTGAAAGAAGGTGGAAAAGATGTCCCATTGTAATTTAAAGTGCACAAAACCTGAGACCTTGTCAGTCTCTCAATGGTTGTATCCTGGCAATGTCACTCTCAGAAGCTCTGAGTGTCAGGTGAATCCCTTGTTCCTTGATCACATTGCTTCACAGTTCTGGGTCCCTCTTGTCATTAAATGCTATATTTGTAGTTCAACCAGTGCAAACCATAGTGTGAATACTTAACTGGATTATACTTCTGTCTTTGATCTCACTTAGTGTTTTTGGCTGTGCCATTCTTTTAACTCATTTTAGCTTAAATTTTGTTTTTTTAGTCAAAGTCTCAATGTCGCCCAGGCTGGAGTGCAGTGGCACACTCACGGCCACCGCAGCCTCGACCTGCTGGGCTCAGGCGATCCTTCCGCCTCAGCCTTCCAAGTAACTGGAACTACAGGTGTGCTGCCACGCCCGGCTAATTTTTGATTTTTTGTAGAGACAAGGTCTCACCAACAGAGCAAGATCCTGACTGTAAAATCCAATCCCAAAGTGCTGGGATTACAGGTTGAGCCACCGAACTCTGCCTTAGCTTAAATTTTAACAAACTGCCCTATTTTCAAACATTCTGCCTTTAAACTGTTTTCTAAACCCACATTTGTTCAGGTACTGTTTTGTACTTACAGTTTTTACTTTTAAGTTTTAGTTTGTAGATGTAGCCTGTTTTATAGTTTTGCTGAACATAGACTTTCTTAAAAATCTTAGATGATGGTTGCATATGGCCCTTGTACACCTTCCTTATCCTTAAGTAGAATTTCGAAAGAGTAATGTCAGTCCAAAATGGGTTGATTCCATAATGGAGCTGAGAGATGCTTCACTGTTACTGCTTGAGGCCAAATATACATGATATATATGATATATAGTATGTATGTACAGGGATATTTCATGCTTTGTTCATGTATGCACCAAAATAGCCCTATGAGAACCCTGTAGATAGAATGTTGTTGAAGGCTGTTTAAGCACATATTTAAATGGACTTTAAAATACTTATATCAGTACTTCTTGGGTATTCTTTACACTCATGGAAGTAAGATGTAAGGATTGTCAGGCCTTCAGCACAGTGTGTGAGGCAACTTAGTTGTATGTGTGTGTGTGTTTGTTTTTGTTTTTCTATATTCTCTTCTGTGAAGTTCTGCCTTTCTTTTCCCTGGATTTGGTAACTGTTTAAAGTGGGTGATCATAGCTTTGTTAGTTGGTTAATGAGAGCACTTTTTCTAAACTAAATATTTTTTTACTAAACCATATTCTTTGGAAAACTTTTTTTGCAAGAGTTAATGCTTTGTGAACTGGTGTTCTGAGGTTGGTAGATGTATTTTCATTTTATTTGCATTAGAATATTATGTTAGACTTGGGCATGGTGGTATGGGCTTGTAGTCCCAGCTACTTGGGAGGCTAACGTGGGAGAATGACTTGAGGCCAGGAGTTTGAGGCTGAAATGTGCTGTGGTCATGCCATTGAATAGCCACTACATGCCAGTCTGGGCAACAGCAAGATCCTGACTGTAAAAGAAAGAAGGAAAGAAAGAAAGAAGAAGAATATTATGTGAGTCTTTTGTATTACTCCCACTTGTCCTACAGTGGTCCCTGTTTTTTTCTTTTTTTTGAGTCAAAATCTCACAGGCGATCCTTCTGCCTCACCCTTCCAAGTAGCTGGAACTACAGGTATGCACTACCATACCTGGCTATTTTTTAAATTTATTGTAGAGATGAGATCTCACCATGTTACCAAGGCTGGTCTCGAACCCATGGTCTCAGGCAGTCCTTTTGTCTCCACCTCCCAAAATGCTGGATTACAGGCGTGAGTAAGCTCCTGGCCTGTTTTTTTCATTTTTAAAATGAGAAAGTTTGTTGTGCTTTCTCATTAACTAATTCTCTGGTTTAACAGATAGGATCCAAAGCATGTGTCATATGAGCATGTTTTCTTAACCAGAGCCTTGCCATAGATATGTGCTTTGGCAGAAGTGGGCTGATATCCAGGACTCACGAGTGGAAGTGCAGCGAGCGTCTGTGAGGCGCAGATCTAGCAGCACTGTTGCTGCATTTGTCAATGAACAATTTAATTGGAAGTCATCCATGTCTGGTGCCAAGCCCTAGGAGCACAGTAATTGTTTTCTAATGAGATTATTTCAGAAACGAAATTACTGAAAACAACACTTTGATCAGGACATAACTGAAGTCCCTTTGGTTAACACTGTTTCTTCATCTAATCCAGCCAAAGAAATACCAGTTTATTATTCATCTTGCCAGTAGTAGTGAGGGTTGTAGAAACACATAGGGCTAGTTATGAGTTGACAGACAGTCTTTACTTTAGATGTGAATAAGAAGCACCTTGGTGTTAAGAATATGCATATATCTACATATATATATTTGACATGTCTGTTTACATATCCATACATAAACCTGGTTGGTAAGAAATCAGTAATGTGGCATGTAAGTAGGAAAGCCTTTAGTAGAAAACAGTCAACATTTTACCACTCATATTCTCTTACAAAAAGGCTTTTCCAAAAATTTAATTCATCAAGTATGAATGTTGGGTCTAAGAGATGTGACTATATGTAGTCACATGAGATAGAGGAATTTCTGAATGGGCATACACAAAGGGGAAACTGTCAAGCTTAATTACCCTGAATGATATTAGAACCAATAAAAAGAAACAGTGAAAAAACAATGGTGGGATGGTGATATTGCAAAATAAAAGTCATACCACATATTCTCCAGATGGTTAGTTAAGTTGCCGAAGAATATAGATGTGGTGGGCTTTAGTAAAGCATAAAGAAGGAGCAGAAACAAGAAGCTTTTTTTTGACTCCTTTAAGCAAACTTTAAGGTATCTTAGGAGATGTTTACTCTAGAGAGAATAAAATAGCAAGAAAACAACTGAAAGGTTTAAGTGTAGTCTCAGATGACTAAGTAAACAAAATAGACTGTGTAAGTCTATTAGCACAGCTATTTTAAATTGTCTGCCTTGCTTTGCTACTTTTCCTTGGCATAACATCATGAGGTGATTTTATTTGAAAAGGAATAACAAAAATGATCCAGTTCTTTTAACCCTTCTAAGACTACAGGACTGAGAGTTTTTGGTCACCACATTCTTCTATCAGAAAAGCTCCTTTTATTGATTAGTTAAGTTCGCTTTAAAATATCCTTTGTTCTAAGTTGCTATTTAGAAAATATTACTCTTAAAATGCTTAAATTATTTTTCTCACTGGGATGTAAAATATAAACATCTAAGTTTGAATGGACTATATGGCCTCTAAAGGTGGTGTTTCCGGTGGTTTTTTTTTTGGGATCTAATTTTCTCCAGAGTATTTATAAAGATGTAGAAATAAGATATAAAAGCCTAATTTTATTTCTCCAAACTCTTTGAATTAGACATCTTAAAACAGCAAACCTCAAAGGGATGCTTCAAGGAACTTGGTGAATAACCAGGAAGGTTATACTTGGAAAGCGTGTACATTTTATCAGCACAGATTCATCCTCTAAGTTTGCTTTGTGTGGAAAGCCTTTTACCGTTTATATCTAAATGTTGCTATCTGCACACAGCTATAGTTCTTACAGCTATTCTACTTATGATCTCTCTATAACTCCAGTCACTTGGTGAGCCTGTCTTCTCATTAACTTCATTATTGTATACTGTGAAAATAATATAACTGAAGCTGTTTGGGGATCTTTTTGATGGTTATAGGGAAAGGGTCTCGTCATATGAGGAGTCATTTTTAGTTAACTGGAATGAAAACAAATTTGCAAAGTTACTTCCTATTCTTGCCTATTCATAAAATGACTAGGACTAGAACTGACTATTGCCAACAATGATTCGTATCAAATATGCTTAAGTTCTTCCAGAATAGTTCATTTTCAGCTCAACGCTAAGGAACATAAATCTAGTCTACAGGACGGCAGTATATTCTGGTTCACCAACATTCTGGTTAGATGAAGTTTTATAGTCCGGTGAAGTGCACAGCCATTCTGGTTAGATGAAGTGGTCCAAAAAGAAAATGCTGTGATAGAATGCTGTAGACTAGCTTTGGAAAAATCTAACTTGTTATAAAGTAATTCTGTTTAAAGAATATCTGGGATTGGTTTTTTCCCCTGGCTGCTGTTGATGGACTTCTTAAAACCACTGTGGCTTCAGATTTTCACTTTCAGAACTAGAAAAGTTCATCTTAAAAACAAAAAAAGCAATAAAAATAATACAGAAAGACTGTTGGAGGCGAAGGACCTAATAGTTCTTTTTTGGCTCATTTTTTAAATTTGGTAGAGAAATAGTGCTTGAAGGGGGGAGCCTCCTGCTTTTCTTTTGCAGATACGTTGAGGTGTGTGCCAACACCAAAGAGTGGCTCCTCTTTCCCGATGTGAACATGCACTTACCTCTGCTCTCCCAGTGCTGCTTGCTGTCTGCGGCTGCTTCTCAGTTTTATCTGTTTTGTCTCCGCTACCGTCTCTGTTTATTGTCTTCTGCCTACCCTTGGAAACTGGGTGTTGTGAACATATCATCAGTTGTTCCAAGCCTTTGAGTGGGAAACAGACACACAAGTCACAGATTTACTGCCAAGAGTTGTGACTTTAGGGAAGACCCTAGCCAAAAATGTATCTTTTTTTTGTTTGTTTGTTTGTTTTTTTGAGTTGGAGTCTCACTCTGTCGCCCAGACTGGAGTGCAGTGGCCGCTCCCGGCCACCGCAGCCTCGACCTGCTGGGCTCCGGCGATCCCTCCGCCTCAGCCTTCCAAGGAGCTGGAACTACAGGCGCGCGCTACCATGCCCGTCTAATTTTTGATTTATTGTAGAGATGAGGTCTCTCTGCCCAGGCAGGTCTCGAACCCGCGGGCTCAGACAATGCACTCACCTCAGCCTCCCAAAGGCGCGGGATTACAGGCTGAGCCACTGAGTCCGGCCAAAAAGGTATCTTTTAAAGAAAGGTTTCAGTTTCTAATTACAACTAGGTCATTCTGTTCTGTTCTTTACATCTAGGCATTCTTCAGGATTGTCCTCTTAACTCTTGTCTATGCATTTGTATGTTCTCCCTGCATGTATCCACAGCATAAACTCTCAGTTTTTACATAATCTCAGCCCTAATTTATCATGTCATTCTCTTTCCCTGACTTTCCTACTTATCAATCTGATTTTTCCCCAGTCCTATCTACCAAAGTTAGTGAGGTATTGGTACTTCTTCCTTCATAGCTATGAAAGCTAAACAATCTAAGAAGTACTCTCCTTCACATGCCTATGAACTCACAAGTTGCCAAGTCCTCTTTTGCCACACTTTTTAGGTCCTCTCCTTTTTGTTTCTAGAAACTGCCTCAATTTATTATATGCCGGGCACTGGGTTAGGCTTCTTATATGCCGGGCACTGGGTTAGGCTTCTTACATCCATGATCTTTTGATCTCTGCAGTCGCTGTGTGGAGTAGGTTTTTCATATCACATTGATGGAGTAGGCCTAGAGGAGTTACTGGACTTGCTGTCCAGGCAGCAGGAAAATGGTGGGTTACAGGTTTGAGACTGAGTGACTTTATTTTTATTTTTTTTATTTTTTTGAGGTGGAGTCTCACTCTGTCGCCCAGACTGGAGTGCAGTGGCCGTTCAGGCCACCGCAGCCTCAGCCTGCTGGGCTCTGGCGATCCTTTCACCTCAGCCTTCCAAGTAGCCGGAATTACAGGCATGCGCTACCACGCCCGGCTGATTTTTTTGATTTATTGTAGAGATGAGGTCTCACCAAGTTGCCCAGGCGGGTCTCGAACCCGCGGGCTCAGGCAATCCACTCACCTCAGCCTCCCAAAGGCGCGGGATTACAGGCTGAGCCACCTAGCCCAGCTACTGAGTGACTTTAAAATCCAGTCTCCTTCCACTGAGCACTCTTTTACTGGCGAATGGGGCGCTTCCCTGTTTCCTATCCACTCACTCATCTTTCCAGGTTTTCTGCTTTTCTCTTCGGGGTACTTCACGCTAGCCACATGGAAGCATTTCCCTGTGAGCTGATTGTGCTGCCTCTGAGCCTTTACCCTCAGTTGCTTCTCTTAGCTGGATTGTTTTTCTCAAGCCCTGTCTGCTTGACGAACTCCTTTCTTCAAGTACCTGCTCAGAGTTGATTTCTTTATAGCCTTCCTTACCACCACCACCACCACCACCACTTCCAGGAACTGCAGCAAATACTGTTGGGTTAAGATGAGTATTTCCTCTTCTGTTCCCAAATGGCATGTGATCTCCTTTAGGGCAGACACACATTCGTCTTTCTAGTTTCATTAGTGCTAACTGTAATTGGTGCTGATAAAGGTATTCTCTCTTTCTAAGATGGTGCATACCATACTTTATGCCCATTCTAAAGGAAATTGTAGCCGGAGAGTTAATCTTGTAAAGTTGTTCAGCATGTGACTTATTTGTGTATTTATACATGTTCAGTATTTGTCGAAGGCTTACTCGTGCTAGGCACTGTGCCAGGTGATTGAGGTGGCAGGAAAGATGGCTTGGAAGGAGACTTTGAGGATTTGAATAAGGCCAGCACTTCTCTGTAGGGTCAGAGAGGAAATGGACCAGTGAATTTGGATTAGGAAAAATTGCAATGACATAGTACCAACTATTGAGAATGGTTTTGATACTGTCCTCCTAGCAGGGTGCTTACCAGTTATTTAGTTGGAAGTCAGTAAATTGTTTAATTAATGAATGAAGAACCAGTTAATTTACCTGTTAACTGAAGTAAAATTTATACATTTAGAATGTTGGGTGTAATTTTTTTTCTCCTGTACTCACAAACATTTAAACTTGTAGCCTTCAAGGTATATAAATCAGAAAACCAAATGATTAATGGTAGTCTGCATCTGCAGAACTTCTTTCTTTGAGAAGGCATGTTGTTATGATTTGAAAAAGATAACTTGCCATTATGAGTTAGAGTAGATCTGCGTATGATATATGCTTCCTGTTGTAATTTTTTTTTTTTGTGAAACTTACTAAAAGTCTCCCCAATACTTTGTTTTATGTGTTAATGAATTAGCCCTCAAAAGGAGATCCTTAAGATCACTTGTGAAAGGTTTGTGAATGGTGATTTCCCTCCTTTATATGTTCGTTTTATTGTATGATCCTTCCTTTTAACGTGACTTGCCCTTACCCCTTATCCTCCACACCTTTTTTGTTTTTGCAGTATCTCTTGCTCCTCCTCCTCCCTCCATCCTACAGGTAACTCCTCAGTTACCTTTAATGGGATTTGTGGCCAGAGTCCAAGAAAATAGTAAGTTTATATCTTCTTTATGCTGTAGATCAGATAATAGGCATAAAATGTCATTTATATATGATTGACTCAATAGTCATTCATTTGCTGATACTTCAGATTTTTAAATATTATGAACCAGTCACTGTCTGAATGGTTAGTGGGGGCTAATAAAATAATTAAGATGAAAATTTCTACTTTCAAATAGCATAAAATGTAGTAGTGAAGATAAGACAAATGTAAAATAAGGCACATGTAAGAAAAAAAAGCTCACTTCTAACTGAGGAGATACTCTTTAATCACCAGATGTTCCATCTTCTTCTCTGAGTTGCTTAGATCATTAGTAATCTAGTTTCCTATCACTGGAGGTTCAGGGGTATTGTAGGTGGCTTGAGAGTCTTCCTTCAGTCCTAAGATTCCAGGTGTTTAAAGGGCCACGCATGGTAGAGCCCAAAGGACCAAGCTGCCAGTGTGTTTCCCAAGGAGCTTCATAGATTGCAAGTGAATTTACCTTGGCACTTGGTTCTAGTGTTGAGCCATACGGAAGCAGGTAAATTATTTTACTGACATATTGACTCGTCTAAGGAAGCTCAGGAGACTCATGTCTACAAATTAGGCCTGTATCAACATTCAGTGAGAAATGGACTGTCAGACCAGTGAACATAGTCTGCATGATTCTTGTGAGCAGTCTTCCTGAGGGGCCACGTCACAATTGTAAGGTTACTTGATGGACTTGCAACTAGGGGAATTCTGTTAATTAAAGATTTAGTATAATCATACCATAGTACCATAGCCTGACGTCTACATCTCATAACAAGGATGGCCTCACTGATGGGATAGAAATATTTGCAGTCTGTTGCTTAGATCTCCTGCTTCCGTGGAGTGGGTGCTCCAGCCCTAGTGTATAGACTCTGTGTGAGCAGGGGTTTTTCCTGTTTTGTTGCTGGCTCTTCCCCATTCCTGGGAAATGCATCTGACGCACAGCAGGTGCTTGGGTCACTCCTTTTGTCTGCTGCTGTTGCTGACTAAATGCACCACTCTTATGGACACATTCTTTTTTTTAGCTGTGTTTGTATTTTAACTGGTTGTGATCCAGTCCTGCTGACATGAGAGCTCAGTATCTCTTTAGGTATCTTTGCATCTCTATTTGCTGATTTTTAGAAATATATATTCTACTAGTGGAAGGTTCCCCATGAACATTTGTGACTTTTTAGGAAGTTTTGTTAAATCTAAGAGCTATTTTCATATATAATCAGGTACATATCATGTGTTTTTCAGTTATGCTGTTGGGGTCCACTGTTCTTTTGACTTGTGTGTGCCCCACACTGGCTCAGGTCAGAAAACGACCTCAGCAACATTCACTGGTTTAGGGTGTGCCCAGCACAGCCACAGTGTGATCCTTTGCTGGGCCTGTGAAGTCAAGTGTAAGATAGAAAGTCACTGTTCTTGGCTCTTTTTTTTTTTTTTTTTTTTTTAATTCTCTGCTGCAGCTTAGGATAAGTTGGACCAAGTAGAAAGGGATTTAATTAGAGTACCAGAATTGAAGGACTTTACAATGCTAGTTCCATTCTGCACACCTATACAAGTTGGAAAGTCTAAGCAGTATTACAGTAAAAAGGAATTTTCTCCCATCACAAATCCAATGTAATCACAATGATTAATGTGGATAGTTAGTTGAATAATACTCTTTTGTAGTATTTTTCTGTTTGGGGTGATTTTTTTTTTTTTTTGAGTCAAGGACTCACTGTTACTCAGGCTGGATTGCAGTTGCACGGTCATGACTCACCACAGCCTCAAACTCCTGGGCTCAGACGATCCCTTCTGCTTCAGCCCAAGTAGCTGGGACTACAGACATGCACAGTCATGCCCAGCAATTTTTTTAGTTTTTGAAGAGACAAGGTCTCACTATGCTGACTAGGCTAGTCTTGAACTCCTGGGCCCCAGCACCCCTCCCATCTTGTCCTCCCAAAGGCGCCCACCCCTTTCTGTTTTTACTGTGCACCTTGGAGAGTTCCACCAATCAGATGCTATTGCATGTTCTGTGAGATGATGTCACTCATTCTGAACAAAGTAGTTCTGAGCAGCTTCTGGAATAAAGGACTGATCTTGAAACTGACACTGAAGACTAATTCATCAAACAGGAATGTTTTATGGGAAAACAGATTTTTCTTTGCAAAAAGAAAACAACAACCAAAAAACTAGATTTGAAAGTTGTATAGGATTATAAAGCAGGATGTCATTAGATTTCACCTTTAGTGAAAGTTGCAAAGTTTGTGGAAACATCAAAATGCTTCATGAACAGACCTCAAAAGTGCTGTTTTATTTTATTTTATTTTGAGTTGGAGTCTCACTCTGTCACCTAGACTGGAGTGCAGTGGCCACTCCTGGCCACCACAGCCTCGACCTGCTGGGCTCCAGCGATCCTTCCGCCTCAGCCTTCCGAGTAGCCGGAATTGCAGGCATGCGCTACCACGCCCGGCTGATTTTTTGATTTTATTGTAGAGATGAGGTCTCGCTGCCCAGGCGGGTCTCGAACCCGCGGGCTCAGGCAATCCACTCACCTCAGCCTCCCAAAGGCGTGGGATTATAGGCTGAGCCACGGACCCCAGCAAAAGTGCTGTTTTAAACTTAATACTATTGAAGTGCATGATAACCAATTTAAGACTTGAAATGAGACCGGGCTCAGTGGCTCAGCCTGTAATCCCAGCACTTTGGGAGGCCGAGGCGAGAGGATTGCCTGAACCCACAGGTTTGAGACCAGCCCAGACAACTTGATGAGACCTAATCTCTACAATAAATAAATAAAGAATTAACTGGGTGTAGTAGCGCATGCCTGTAGTTCTGGCTACTTGGAAGGCTGAGGCAGAAGGATCGCCGGAGCACAGCAGGTAGATGCTGGGGTGGCCGTGAGTGTGCCACTGCACTCCAGCCTGGGCAGTGGGAGTGAGACTCCAACTCAAAAAAAGAAAAAAAGACTTAGAAATGTCTTAAGTAGGTGACTGTTAAAACATTATAGCAGCACTACTTATTAAAAAGTCATTCCCAGCTAGACTCGGTGGCTCAGCCTGTAATCCCAGCACTTTGGGAGGCCAAGGCGAGTGGATTGCCTGAGCCCGTGGGTTCGAGACCTACCTGAACAACTTGGTGAGACCTTGTCTCTACAATAAATCAAAAATTAGCTGGGCATAGTAGCACATGCCTGTAGTTATAGCTACTTGGAAAACTGAGGTGAAAGGATTACTGGAGCCCAGCAGATTGAGGCTGGGTGGCTGCGGTGGCTGGGAGCATGCCACTATACTCCAGTCTGAGCAACAGAGTGAGACTCCAATTCAAAAAAAAAAAAAAGAAAGAAAGAAAAAAGTCATTCCCTAATTTGACCACCCTATCACAATTGATTACCTTTTCCATCTTTCTATAGTCATATACATTTCTCCCAAACAAAATGTATACGATAAAAAACACTGTGTATGAGGTGTGCTGTGACTGATTTTACAAACTATAGCAGGACTTAGACATCCAAAGACTGTTATCCTTTTCAAAAACATCCACCTTGGAAAGATGTATACCTTTCTTTTGGAATTATCTTCAAAGTTTTCCAGGTGTGTTATTTTGGAGGTATTCTGAGTAGCAGATACTTGCTCTGCATTAAGCTTGATGTTTGGAGGAGGTCTGGAATCACTGGGAATCAGCTATAGTAATCCGCTGTACTGGGATAAGAAAAGCGCAGCTATGACCCATGCTCCTCCTTCAAGTCCTGCTGTGGCTCTTCGCTGCTCTTTGGATAGAGTCCAAATTGAATTCCTCTTCAGCTTCCTCATAACTCTTTTCTTCTGAACTGTGGATAGTCCTTTGAACATTTCCTGCTTTCTTACCTTTTACTTGTTTTACTCTTTATATTTGACATGAAGTATCCACCCCCAGACCATCCTACCCTCTGCCTCCATGAACTCTTACTTCTCCTTCAGTTTTCCTAACCAGAGGTTTGGCCAGTGCTCTGTGTTCCCATAATATCTTAGCGCACTCAACATCATCGAATTGTAAAGAACGGTTTGGTTGTCCATGTCCCCATCATTTTTGCCCACTGCTCAACATAATGTCTGGCCATAGCAGGCTCTCAGTTGATATTTGTTGAATGAATAACAAATGAAACCTGACTTAAAAGTTATTAAATTTATCTCATCCCATGGTACTGTAGCTTTCAAGATAACAGGCATTGGAGTTCAGGTGCTCTTCTACTCACTTGCTGTAGGAACACACTTAATCTTGAAAAGGCAGTTTCCACATCTATGACATGAGGATTAAAAACACCACCTCATTAAAGGTAAAGATTATAAAGGGCTAGCTAAGTAGTTGGAACATTTTAAGTAAAAAATGGTAACTTATGTTAGTCTTACTAAACTGGCAGTTATAAGAGAGGTAAAAATGAGCAGTGGCAGCACTGTTGAGTAATTTTATAGTGTTATTTCTCAACGTGATTGTTTTGAAAGTCCCTTTGGGTCTTTGTTTTTGTGCAGTTGTTTAAAGTCTTTTTACCTTACAAATGCAGATAGAATGTATTTTTCTTTTCCACTTGAGTATATACTAAAATCACTTGTTTGTATATTTTGTTTATTAATAAAAAGTCATTAGGACTAAAGGATTTTTGTTTTAATGAATAAAGTTTTAAAGTTTATGGAGCAGATCGGCATAGAGTGACCCAGCAGGTGGGAAGCCCAGGGAAGCAGGACAGAGCATGGTGCTGGTGTGGCTGGTCCACCAGGCTTTGGCATTCCCATACCCACTCGATTCCATCATAGGCTTTCGTAAAGCACAGAAAATAAATGAGATCGCCCAGAGAATTGCACAGAAACAGTAAGGCACCTCATAAGTAAGAAATAGTGCTACTGATGAGAACTGGGGAGCTGACATGCACATCCAATCACTGTATTCCGCTGAGCTGTTCACAGGTGTATTATGAAAGTGCTGAGGTCTCTGAGTTTGGAGATAATCTTTTAGATGTTACTGTAGCCTGGAACCTGAGCTGTAGAGGCAGCTCTCCATAGGAGACATTTGAAACATTTAAACATTGTAACATTTAAACATTGAAACATTTAAACATTAAACATTGAAACATTTAAAATCACTCTGATCCTACACTTGGGCATTTAGCCTAAAGAAATTCTGAGTTAAAAGTTAGTGTGAACTAGTTGAAATTCTACAAACAAACAACATTTCTTCATGGATGAAGTTAATCAAGTTGTTCATGATTTTTCCTACTTAGTGTGGTAAGGTGCTGTTTTTTAAAAGTTCATTGAGAGGATAGCAGCAGATTCTTAAATTTGATTATTTCCTGGACTCATTCTGATTTGGTTATAATTGAAATATAATTATAAACATCCAAATGATTAATATTCCTGGTAACTTCTCTTTGAGTATAGTGTAGAACTAAAGTATATTGTATTGCTCTCTTTGAAAAGAGGATTTTTGTTAGGATAAACAGATTCCAATGGCTGAATTAATTATTTTGGCTAAACTTTATTCACCATTCATTAGCACTAACCTAATAGGGGGTGGGGAGAGAAAGTCATGCTTGAAGAAATTAGAACATTATAGTTAGTGGGAGGGCTTGTCTTGCTCACTCAGTTTTTGAAAGATTATTATTTTCAAGTCTAAGTTTATATTCCATGCACCTAGAAGCTTGAATAGGAAATACTGAACTTTGCATAATGTATAGTTTGTTGTCAGCTTGATACATTCTTAGTTTCAGATACACCACCTCCACCACCACCTGTGGAAGAACCAGTCTTTGATGAGTCGCCTCCTCCCCCTCCCCCTCCAGAAGATTATGAAGAGGAGGAAGCAGCAGTGGTTGAGTATAGTGATCCTTATGCTGAAGAGGACCCGCCATGGGCTCCAAGATCTTATTTGGAAAAGGGTAAGTTTCTAAGAACTTCTGGAGGATGGGAAAGGACTGCTAATGGAAAGGAAATTTCCTAGTACTGAAGAGAGTCTTGTTTTTGTTTTTTACTAAGTAAAGTTTTATTTATTTGTATTATCCGTGCATTTTAGTTGATTTAGCTTCTTACAAGGTTCGTGATTTTGAAAGTTACACTAATAATATTCTGTGAGTATTTGATTAACTTTTAAATTGATGGATATCTATTGTTCCTGTTAAACATTCTATTTATGAATAGTTTCTTTAAGACAAAAATCACAAAAGCAAATTTCTGTTTCTTTTGGCCTCAGGAAGAGGATTATTTTCCAAATTTTTAGTTATTCTTATTGTCGTGCTTTAGAACATTATTTTGAGTCATCTTATGTCAGATATTTCAGTATAAGTGTCTATAGACTCAAAACTGAAACTTTTTCTGAAGGAATAATGGCTTCTCAGTTTCTTTGCAGAGTAGTATTGGGCATTTCTTTTAGTGGAAAGTTGCTTTGATATTAGCTAACTATGACATAGCACTTGGGGACACAAGCATCCACATCTTGTCAGGGCTAATCACCTCAGGAAAAATGTGTGCTATATGGAAGGTTTTCTGTTAAGGAAACTGAAGCTCCTAACCAACTGGGTCTCAAACAGGCTAAACGTTAGAATCATCTAAGGAGCTTCTATAAAGAAACAGCAGACTTCCACTTCTGGCCATGATAGAACAAAGTAATCAGATTTGCCCTCCCTCCTAAAACAGGAATTACACATACATAATAATAGTTTTCAAACATTGGACAACAGGCACTGGCAGATTATGACCCCAGCGAGAAGGAAATAAAAATTATTTGTTATATAGCTATTATAAATGCCACATATGATCAAGAAGGTAAAGGAAAACAAACACGAGAGAGAAGTGGAATATATTTTTAAAAGAGAGAAAGAAGCCTGGTGCAGTGGCCCATAATCCTAGCACTTTGAGAGGTGGAGGCAAGAGGACTGCCTGAGTCCAGGGGTTCGAGAACAGCCTGGACAACTTGGCGAGACCTCATCTCTACAATAAATAAATAAAAAATAGGCAGGTGGTGCTTGCCTGTAGTTCCAGCAACCTGGAAGGCTGAGGCGGAAGGATCACCTGAGCCCAGCAGGTCGAGGCTGTGGTGGCCGTGAGTGTGCCACTGCACTCTATCCTGGGTGACAGAGTGAGACTCCGACCTAAGAAAAAGAGAGAGAAAGAGAAACCCATGCGGTATTTCTGGAGATGAAAAATGCACCCTGCAGAAGAAAGGATCAGCAAGCAACTCTGATGCTGTGACAATAGAAAGTATCCAAGCAAAGCACAGAGAAAAAAGAAAACAACAAAACCAGAGCAGCAGATACACGAGACAAGATTGAATAGTCTTAATGTACACAAGGGGAACCCAGAAGACACTGGAATTTATTAAGAAATTGTGTACTTATTCTTACATGTATAAGCTCCAGTCACCTTCAAAGTACTCTTCATCTGATACATTACACCTATTGAGACACTTTTCCACTGCTCAAAACAGTTTTTTAATTCATCAGTTTGAATGCCTTTGAGTGCTTCTGTGGTTTTTTTGTTTCACCTCTTCCACATCAGTAAAACGTTTCCTTTTGAGGACTTTTTTCATCAGGGGAAACAAAAAAAGTCACTAGGTTGAGATTGGTGAAAAGGAGGAGGGTGAGGTAGGGGAATCATGCAGGTTTTGGTCAAAAATTGCTGAGCACTCAGTGTGGTATGGGCAGGTATGCTTGTAAATCACCCATCATGAAATGGGCAAATGAGTTGAAAGAATCTCCAAAAAAATTCACTAAAGCCTAGCACAACTTCTCACAATGGTAGCTGGTACACTGATGCTGATGGGTTTCTAGAACACTTACTTAGGGGGGGAAGCCTGTACTACAAGGGGCCTGCCCTCCAAAAAATAATTCTGGATTTTTTTGGGTCTCCCCTCATATGACATTGAGTTCCCACCAGAGGTGAAAGGAAAAAGTTTTGAAACAATAATGGTTAAAATGTTTCCACATTTGATGAAAACTACTAGTTATATATTGCCACCTCACAAATTATTCCCAAATTTAGTAACTTAAATAAAATACATGATCTCTCAGTTTCTTACCATGGCTTCTCTGGGCCCCTCAACTCAGGGCCTTTGCTGTGGCTGAAGTCTGGGTAACACCTGAGACTGTGGGCATCCCAAGACTTGACCAAGAGAAAATTTGCATTCAAGCTCACTCATGTGTCATTGACAGAATTTAGTTCCTAATGGGTTGTTGGCCGGAGAGGCTGTTTCCTCACTGGCTATTGACTAGAGGCTGCCTGCACTTCTGGGCCACCTGGACTTCTCCATAGGACGGCACACAATATGGCAGCTTTGTTAAAATGGTAAGTGAGAAGAGCAAGCAGGACAGAAGCTAGGCTTTTTTCACCTGATTTTAGAAGTGAAAACCTGTCAGTGTGGCATTGTGGTCATGTTCTATTCATTAAAGCAAGTTAGTAGGTTCTTGCATAAAAGGCACTGTGAGGCAGAAAGCATTGGGAACCACTTTCGAAGGTGTCTACCACAACAACTGTAAACTCATAGATCCAGGATGTTCATTAAACCCCACACAGAAGAAACATACTGCATAGAAGAAACATACTATCATTCCAAGGTACATCATAATAAAATAAAAGCCAATAATAAAGAGAAAATCTTGATCAGAGGAAAAATGACACATTACATATAGAGCTACAAAGATAGGAATGCAGAGTTCTTATCAAAAACTGTAAGAGCAGTGAGCAACAGCTTGAAAGTAATGAAGGACTATGTCAACCTAAACCTTTTCTTAACAAAAAAAAAAAAAGAAAAAGTTCTAAACTAAAGATCTTTCAGACCAAGAAAGGGGGATTGTGGTTTTAGGAATTTCTGGTATACTTGGGAGATTTGTTCCAGGCCTCCCGAGTATACCAAAATCTGCACATACTCAAGTCTCACAGTCGGTTCCATGGAGCCCACCTTTGCAAAATGTGGTATGTGCGTTTTGTATCCCACAAACATTGTATTTTTGATCTGCATCTGGTTGAATTCATGTATAAGTGGACCTGTCATGTATAAGTGGACCTGCACATTTCAAATCCATGTTCAAGGGTCAGTTGTATACTCAGCTCAGGTTCATATATTACCTGTGAAGTAGAATACTCTTTGAAGACAGAGTAAGATAAATTAAAGCCATATATTGTAATTGTTAGAATAAGCAACAAGAACAAAGAAAACAAAGAGGTTTAGCTAATATGTGAGTTGGAGAGAAACAATGAAATAATTTTTAAAAAATTCCAAAAAGAGGCAGGAAAAAAAAAGTGAGACAAATATAACTTGAAGCCGGGCTCGGTGACTCAGCCTATAATCCTGCGCCTTTGGGAGGCTGAGGTGAGTGGATTGCCTGAGCCCACAGGTTCGAGACCCACCTGGGCAAGCAGGACCTCATCTCCACAATAAATCAAAAATCAGCCGAGTGTGGTAGCGTGCGCCTGTAGTTCCAGCTACTTGGAAGGCTGAGGTGGAAGGATCATCGGAGCCCAGCAGGTCAAGGCTGCGGTGGCCGGGAGCGGCCGCTGCACTCCAGTCTGGGCGACAGAGTGAGACTCCAACTCAAAAAAATATATATATAACTTGAATTGCAAGATGCTAAGTTAAAACTCAGCATATAGAGATCCATGCTGGAGACTTACTCTTTTCTCTGGGTTTTCTCCCATGCATACATGAAGTATATATGTTAATTAAAAAAATAAAAATGAAACCCACCATATCAATAATTGCATCAAATGTGAAATGTTTAAACATGCCCAATTAAAAGGCCGAAATTGAGAGATTGGATAAAGCCCAGGTCAGCCTGGGCTTCGAGATTATCAGCTCAGTGGGTGGGCCAGCCAAGCCCCAGAGAGGGTCATCTCTGAGGGACTGGTAAGCCTAGCCCCGGGGTGTTGGCTTTAATGGGCTGGCAAACCAAGTTCTGAGAGTGTTGCTGATTTGGTGCGCTGGCAAGCCTAACCCCCGAGTGTTGGCTCTGAGGCTGAGAGTGTTGCTGATTCAGTGGGCTGGCAAGCCTAGCCCCTGGAGTGTCTCAGCTTATGGAGTCTCGCCTTTTTCAAGCAGCTCTCCCAGTTCAGCCGGCTCCATCAGCTGGCAAGCCAGCCTCCGGGGTGCATGACTCTTCACCTCCAACCATCTTCTGCAGCTTTTCAGGTCAAGCTTCTTGTTTTGTGCCCAGGAAGAATGTGGTAAGTAGACAGCTAGAAAGTGAGAAAGCAGGATTTATTGAGAGGACAGAAAACCTCCCACAGTGGAAGGGGACCCGAAAGGGTTGCCAGTTTGGGGCTGAAGCCTGATGCTTATATAGCCCAAAGACTGAGGCAATTGGCTAGCACTAGCTGTGAGCTGATTGGTCTGCACTAGCTGCTCTGATTGGTCAGCACTAAGGACCAATTGGCAGGAGGTAGGGACCTAATGGTGACCTAATTGGTTGCTTTTCCATCCCAGCAGTGGGTACTTAAACTCTAGCTTGTGAGGCTGCAGCAAGCTTGTTTACCAATGATGAGCCTGAGAGGCCTGCTGGAAGTTTGCTCAAAATGTTACTGGAGGACCTGCCCTGCCTGCCTGCCTGTCTAGCTTTTCTCTAGCTATCTCCTGTCTCATGTCTATAAGAAAACCACTTTATTATTTACTCAGAGTTGAGGGTCTCTTTCTGACGCCCAGGCTGGAGAGCAGTGACATGATCACACCTCACTGCAGCTTTGACCTCCTGGGCTCAGGCAATCTTCCCACCTAAGCCTCCCAAGTAGCAGAACTACAGGCATGCACAACTGTGGCTAATTTATTTATTTATTTATTATTTTTATTTTTGCGAGACAAGGTCTTGCTATGTTGCCAAGGCTGGTTTCAAATTCCTGGGCTCAAGCAATGCTCCCACCTAGTCCTCTCAAAGTGCTGGAATTACAGGCATGA